CCCAATACTAACTGAGTCTCGAGACTCGTGGTGCGCTGCAATGGCTAGCAGATGTTAACTACCTCGCCTGGTATACAGGAGCTCGGTGGGTTCGATCCCGACCCTGACGCCTGCTGTGTATTTGGAGTTTGCGTGTCTCTCTCTCTCTCTCCCCGTGGTCACGTGGATTTGTCTCCTGAATCGACGTCCGTCTGGAGCATTTGGCCGCTATGAATGTCCACGTGATGATGACGATGATGATGAGCAACTTCGTTGAGCTATCATCTGTGGTGGCCCAGGGGGTCGCTTCTGAAAAAAAAGGGAGCGACGCAGCTCAGCGCGGCCTTCCCCGGTCAAACGAGAAGAACTTTTTCTGTTGAGCTTACTTTAGCATTGCCCTGTGGCTAGCGTGGCTGACGTTTCACAGCAAACGGAACTTCTTCGGAGCGGAGAGAGAGAAGGGTTGGGGGTTGGGTGGCGGGAATATTGACGTGGGGTTGGAGGTCACCCCCAGCCTTACACTCGTTTAAGAGTATTTGGCTGCTATAAATTTCCACGCGATGATGATAAGCCATTTCGTCGCGCTATCATTTGTGATGGCCAGGTCACTTGTTTGAAAAAAATTGCAATATAGCTCAGTGGGCCTTAACTGGTAAAAAATAAATAGTTGAGTATTTTTCGCTTCTTTTTCAGGAAGGTACTGCCACGTTTTTTTTGCAGTGGGGTCATTGACGCTTGTCCCCTGCACTGGCTTCTGACACATGCGCACTTAAATGTTTGTTGTTTTCCCTGTCATCCTTTGGCAATTATGTAACCAGGGGAGGAGGGGTTACCAGCCCCTCGCGTCTATTTAAAAAAAAAAAACTATAAAACTACTATTTTTATTTTACCATGTAAGGCCCACTTAGCTACGTAGCTCTCGTTCAGAAGCTGCGACGCGGCTCGTCATCATCGTCACGTGGAGATTTACAGCGGCCGAATACTCGGTGACGTTGATTCTAAATGCGGAGGGAAAGACCGGAGGACCCGGAGTAAAATCCACGCGACCACGAGGAGAGACAGAGAGACAGGCAAACTCCAAATATACAGCAGCAGGCGTCAGGCTAGGGATCGAACCCACGACCTCTTGCATACCGGGCGAGGTAGTTAACATCTCACCACGGAGAGAAAGAGACACGCAAACTCCAAATATACAGCAGCAGGCGTCAGAGTCGGGATCGAACCCACGACCTCCTGTGTACCAGGCGTGGGAGTTAACATCTCACCCAACCTGTCTCGCCACCCTCCCGTGAGCCACCGCGGTGAATGTGATCACACCACGAGGGGGGGGTAAACATCTGGCTGACGTCGGCCTGAACCCCCCCTCCCCCCATGGTCACAGCCCACCGCGGCGCTACCGTCCCGAGACCGCGAGCAGGTGGTGGTTATTTTTGCCAGTGGGGTGTGTGTACAAAAGACGTACAGAAACACACATGGTATATATATAAAGACAAAGATCCTCCGTATAGCCTGTAACAGACTGTTGGGGCAAGTGCTGTTATGCGAGCACCTGTGAAGGGTGGCACAGCAGACGAGGGAGTGGGTGGCCAGCACCACGCCCGGCCGCCTTTGTCTCCCCAGTGACGAAATTTACACACCGCACCAGGTACTCATTTGAGGCTGAGTCTACCTAGGAGAGGCCCAGTACTGGGTGTTTGTCGTGAGCGGGAATCGTAGTGCAGCGCACTAACCGCTAGACTACCGCTCCCCACAGTATATATACACACACACCACACATAAAAACAAAGATTCCCCGTATAGGCTCAACGGACTGTTGGGGGCAAGTGCTGTTAGCGAGCACCCGTGAAGGCCGGCACGGCACACGATGGGGGTATCTAGCTAACACAACGCCGAACCGCCTTTGTCTCCCCAGTGGCGATGTTTACTGCACACCGCACCGGGTACTCATTTGAGGCTGAGTCGACCTAGGAGAAGCCCAGGACTGGTTCAGATTATCGTCGCCGTCACTGGCGTTGACCCGTGAGCGTGTGCGAACCGAGGTACGGGGTGGGCCGGGTTCACTGCGCGGCGAACTGACCACCGCGCCACCACTCCCCACAGATACAAAGATCCCCCGTTCAGCCCTAAAAGTCTGTTTGGGGCAAGTGCTGTTAGCGAGCACCTATGATACGCACACTCGCGAACAGCACTTGTCCCAACAGTCTATTTGAGGCTATAGGGGGCATCTTTGATACATTATATACCCGTGTTTATATACGCTTCTGTGTGTCTCTATAGACTATACATTGTGAACACGATAGCTGACGCGCAACACCACGTGTGTGTGCGTGTGTGTGTGTAAAACTGCCAAAAGATGTAGATTAAACAAATGATCCTTGCTTTTGGGGAAACTTCCGTATATGCTACAGCTGCCAACACGGCTAAACATGCACGTAACACACGGACACACGCGTGACCCCCACACAAAAGACAAAGATCCCACGTATAGCCTTAACAGACTGTTGGGGCAAGTGCTGTTGGCAATCACCCCCCAAGGCCGACACGGTGCCACTCCTGGCCACCTTTGTCTCCCTAGTGGTGACATTTACATATCACACAGGTACTTAATTGAGGCCGAGTCGACCTAGGTGGCCATGAGCAGATTCATTGCGTAGTGCGCTACCCGCTACACTACCGCTCCTCACTTCTAACACACACAAACAAAGATCCCCCGTATTACCTTAACAGACTGTTGGGGCAAGTGCTGTTAGCGAGCACCTATGAAGGCCGGCACGGCACACGAGGGGGTGGGTGGCCAGCACCACGAACCGTCCGCCTTTGTCTTCCCAGTGGTAATGTTTACACACCACACCAGGTACTCATTTTAGGCTGAGTCGACCTAGGGGAGGCCCCGGACTGATTAAGATAATTGTCACTGGTGGTGGCCATGAGCGGGAATCGAATTCGGGTCACCGGATTCATTGCGCCGTGAGCTAACGACTACACTACCGCTCCCCACTTACTAACACACACACACACACGTGTATACATATGCAGTGACATAGACTCAGTCACGTAGCAGCATAGCGCTGGCTGCTGGCAGGGAAGGGGACCTGCAGCTTGCAGCAGCCCTGACTGACAGCAGGTCACGTGATAGACCAGAGAGGGATGAAGGGGAAAGGTTACGGAAGGGGCACGTCGAGAACCCGCTGGTAGGTTCCAGAAGGGGGGCGTGGCCGGAGCCAGGCCATGCCCCCCAGTATAAGAGGGGCCCCGGGAGGGGAGCTCGGGGCTGTCGTTTGGAGTGGGATCCCCGTCGTCGTCGTTGCTGTTGAAGATCGTCGCCATCGTCGCCGTTGTCTCGCCGCCTTCGTCACTGTCGTCGTCACTGTCGTCGTCACTTGATATATTGCGCTGCTAGACGGTAGTTGGCTGTCTCGGTTTCAGCGTCGTCAGTGTCAGACGGCCAGCGTTGTGTATAGGCTAGCGACTTACGTAGAGTCGCGTAGAAACGACAGAGAAGAGTGTGTACCAGCGTGGGGTGGGTATCGTGCAAAGGGGTGCACGGTTGAATAAAGGAACTGCCTCCAAAAACTTGTGTCTCCCAAGCCAGCAATTACACATCCATGCATCCACACGCACGCACACACGTTACCATACGCATACACACACCTGCACAGACAAGCGCACACGCACTGAATATAACACGTGACAGATACGTAGCGTGACCACGCACGCAGCCAGCGTTGCGTTTTCTCGAGTTTGACCAGAATAAAATAACAAGATTACGGCATTAAAAGTTTGGAGGAATCAAGACGAGGGTTTACTACACCTCTCACCAATTTGAAAACCCATGCAACCACCGCTCTCTTGGCAGCCGCCAGTGGTGGTTTGCAAAGCAAAAAAAAAACAATAAAACCTCCACCAACCCCTTGCAGTCACCGAGAACAAGTGCCACGGATTTGCCTTTTAAGGGCCCAACGTTTAAAAAGCCCTACGTCGCGCACGCTCTCTCTTCCCATCTCACAGCGGCTGCCCGAACACACGTGGCCACGCCACGGCTGATGGGGCAGCCGAGTCGAGGTTATGGAAGGCGATGGGGGAAAACAGGAAAATGGAGCGGCGGAGGGAGGGAGGGAGAGAAGAAGGCAGAGGACGAGGAAGGAAGGAACGGGGAATGAGAAGGGAAAGGGTGGAAGGTGGAAGGTGGAATCGGGAGGATAAGGAGGTGAGGAGAGATGAGGAGAGGGAGGAGGGAGAGGCCACGTCAGGGCCTTGATGCTGCTGCTGCTGCTGCATGGAGCAGCAGCAGCAGCAGCGTCTGTGTTCTTAGTGGGCGGGGGAGAGAGAAGAGATTCACAGTGTGGGTGCCCACGTGATTTACGGCAGGCTTGAGCTAAGATGTATCTCTCTCTCTATATATAGGTGGTGGTGGTGATGGTGGTGTTGAGACTGTCACTGAATACATTGTTTTTGTCGCCATGTGCCGACAGCAGGAACGGTTTCGAGCACGGGCTAAACGTTTACTCTCCGGAACAATTTTGACTTGACTGCAGGAATTCATACTTGACTTGACTGCAGGAATTCATACCGCTCTGGGTCTTTCGTTAAAGTGACGTCGGTGAAAAAATTACTCGCCGTATTTTTTCACCCCAAGACGATTTGCTTGTGTTGCGATCGAAACGTCGTGATTTTTAAAATTATTTTTCTATCTACGTGACTTTACCGAAAGACCCAAAGAGGTCCTCTCTGGAAGCTTCACTCGGGGTAAAGGGACTCCCCTCCTCCAGACCTGGTGGGGGTGGGGGGGGGGGGGAGCGACATTCTGACCGCGCCACACCACCGTCTCAGCCACAACCCCTCCATAGGGGGGGTCGGTGGGGGTGTACACGGCCTGGGGCAACTCACACGCTGTATGCCCCCCCCCCCCCCCCGACGCCTTCAAAGCGAAACCGGAAGTGTTACGTCGAAGCGGCACACGGAGGGTCCCCCAGAGCGCGGGGCCCCGGGGGGGGCGGCTTGGGCCACGCGGCACCACCCACCTCTCCGCGCGCCTACTCGCTGCTCCCGGGGAGACGGTGGCGGCCAATCGCTGCGACGACACGCGAGGTCACATGACGGGCGGGGAGCCAGGGTTGGAAGGCGCAGAAGAGGCGAGGATCCTGCAACGGAGGAGGGGGGGGGGCAATGGGAAGGGGGGGCAGTCGTCATCACCAAGTTACCGTCTGTGTAGTCAACATCGCGATCGTTCGATTATAATAACAGCGAGCAAGTACAAGATTGGGCGTACGCATGGGGCTACCAAACTCAACGCTATAACCTGAACACATTTTTTTTTTCAAATTTTTTTTTACCCAGGTAAGGCCCCTCTGAGCCGTGTAGGAAGTGACGTGGCCAACGCAAGTGATAGCTCAACGGAGGGTGGGCTTATCATCGTGTCGAAATTTACAGCTGCAGCCCGCAAGCTAAACCGGGAGCATTGCATCCGATGGCGTGACGTCGAAGCACGAGGGGACCCCCCCCTACCCCCCAAAGCGCGGGGCCCTGGGCAGTCACCTCAATTTGCCGTGTACCCCTCAGAGGGGCGGCTCTGCCCGCGAGAGTTATCCTGACCCCTGACCTCTCCCCACAGCTCCCCCCCCCCACCCCCACCTGTCTCAGTTACACCCAGTCAGTACTAATGCACAAACACTCTCAATCTTAGATGGAAAGCGTAGGAAAAAAAATAACGATGCAGTACCGTTATTTATAGCGGCAGAGTGCATAAATTAATTGCGCAAAAAAAATTCGCGAACAAATCAAATACTGTAACGTTGCATGGAAATGTGTGTTAACCCTGAGATGGTGCTCGATGGGATTCTACAAGTGTGAGATGGTGTGCGATTAGATCTGGTAAGTGTGCGATGATGCGAGATGAGATCTGGTAAGTGTGCGATGATGCGGGATCAGATCTCGCAGAACTGGGGGAGAACATACAAACTCCCTTCGCTCGCTCGCGCTCTGCAGAACAAGGGAAGAACGTCAAACTCCGTGCAGGTATCGAGCCCCTGGCCTTCCGAACCGCGAGGCACGGTCGCGTTGACCACGGCGACAACCTTCTACGAGGTAGGCGCCCGGTGAAACTGCGCAATAACCTCGGCTAAAAAGAAAATTAAAACTCTGCAGGGTTGCGTAAGAAGAGGTTTTTTTTGTGTTTTATCCCAGGGACGGACGGTCCGATTCGGATCCAGCGAGCGCACCGCGCATCGCGCTTGCTTGCGTGCGTGCGTGCGTGTTTAACAGAGGCGGCAGAGCGGCAACTTTGCTTTATCCTCGTGTTGCCTTTGGCCGGACGATGGAGATAATCCTCACCATTGGCGCCGGGTGGAGAAGGGGGGGGGGGGCTGTCAGAATTCCAGAGGACAATGCAGAGAGAGAGAGCGAGAGCGAGCGAGAGACAAAAAGAATGTTGATTTGATGCAGTGGAGAATCGGACGGGGGAGGGGGGCGAGAGTCGGCCGTTCTTGTGCACGCGGCTTGGCCAGACAGCGAGGGCTCAAATGAAGAAATAGTTACCCCCCTCCCCTCCTCCCAAAATTAAAAATAATTCTGGGAGCGGTGGCCATGCCCGCCTCTCCGATCTATCGTTTTTGGGAGGCAGCGGAGACGTTGTGGGAGGCGGGGGGGGGGGTTTGTGGATCACGGAGGTTTGTGAGACTTCTCCAAACCGTTGCTGCTGCTGCTGCTGCGATGCGGTGGCTAGGAGGTGGCAGCTATGGCCAGGTGGGGGCGGGGTGGGGTAAGTGGGGGGGGGGGGTTGGTGGGTGGGGGGTTTGGTGGGGGGGTTGGTGGGTGCGGGGGTTGGTGGGTGGGGGGGTTGGTGGGTGGGGGGTTTGGTGGGGGGGTTGGTGGGTGGGGGGGTATGTGGGGGGGGGTTGGTGGGTGGGGGGTTGGTGGGTGGGGGGGTTGGTGGGGGGGTTGGTGGGTGGGGGGTTTGGTGGGGGGGTTGGTGGGTGTGGGGGTATGTGGGGGGGGGGGGTTGGTGGGTGGGGGGGTTGGTGGGTGGGGGGGTTGGTGGGGGGGTTGGTGGGTGGGGGGGTTGGTGGGGGGTTGGTGGGTGGGGGGGTTGGTGGGTGGGGGGTTGGTGGGTCGACCGAACGCTCTCCCGCGGCGGGGCCACAAACATAGCCGTCCGCCGTCGTGTTGTCCTTCCCCCGCGCCTCGCGATCAGCGCGGTTCAGCTACGCACGGCGGCGAAAGAAGTTCAACGTGCGTACGAACGTAGGTGGGGGGCAGGGGGGCCGGGGGGCTGATCTCACTCAGTGTAGGGGCGACCAATACCTTCAAACTAAACCGCGAGTTATACACCTGACCCCGTGACGTCGAAGTACAAGTCCCCGCCCTGACGCCTGCTGCTGTATGTTTGGAGTGTGCGCGCGTCTCTCTCTCTCTCCCAGTGGTCACGGGGATGTTTTTCTCCCGGTCCTGCCGTTTCCCTCCTCCACGTTCAGAATCGACGTCACGCGTCACAGAGCGTTCGTCTGCGCAACATCTCAACGTGGCAAGCCACTTCGCCGAGCATGGTCTCACACGCGCGGCACAGCGGTACCATGCTGTCACGCACGGTGCCGTGTCAGGCGAAAGTTTGGCTGGCTGGCTTGCTGGCTGGAGGGAGGGAGGGTCAAGTATCCCAGCACACGGCCGGCTGGATTGTTACATCGCGGGACTGTGAGGGATGGAAAATACTTGGGGGGGGGGGGGGGGGAGGCATTCATCATTCATCCACCAGTGGCTTTCACCGTGGCTACTGCGGACGATAATGATAACGTCTGATATCATTGTGCGAGTGCATTTTTAACCTTTACATCTGCTAATAACCCGACCCCCCTCCAAGTCAATTTTATTTATGCACGCCGGGGATGGTGAGTCGATCGAAGGGCAGAAATAGTTTTGAGTTAAAACTCGGGGCTTGTGTTTAAATTAGCAGCATTGTTCCATTATTATAGACACCAATGGCGAAACCGTATCCCAGGATTCATAAAACTCCGCATTTGCTTCATAGCCGCTCCAAGACCACAAATAATACTCCAAAGAACCACTAAGATCCGACGCGTCAAATCTTTGTTGTTACAACATTCGCGAATACATTAGATCGTAATAATAATAATAATTTTAAAGCACTATTATGTAAATCTACGGTACTGTTGGATGAATGCCCTCCGCCCCCGCGCGCTGTGCTGTAGGTCACGGGAGTTGCGTGAACATACTTCACCACGCTGGTCAGCGCTCGTTGGTGAAAGGTGGAAAGTGCGGGCAGGGGGGGGGGGGAATGGGACGTGTTGGTGGGGGTGCAGCTACCACTGACGTTAGCCGCGTGGCCAAGAAACACGCGGGTCGCCGGGTTCATAGCGCAGCTCGCTAACCACTGCGCCACCGCTCTTCGACTACATGCGACAACATACAGCACGCAATAAACATAGCTGTTCTGCTGCAACGAAACAGATCCACCCGTGTAGCCTTAACAGACTGTTGTGTCAAGTGCTGTTAGAGAACCCCCATTCGGGCCGGCACGGCACACGAATGCGTGGGTGGCCAGCAACGCGCCCGACCGCCTTTGTCTCCCCAGTGACCACGTTTACACAGCGCACCATGTACTCATTTGAGGCCGAGTCGACCTACGGGATGGACCAGGACCGCTACAGATAATCGCGTTGGGCGTGAGCGGGAATCGAACTGAGCTGGGCGAGGTCGACGGCGCATTGCAACCAAATACAATGTACATACTTCCCCGAAATGACACCGCGTGGGCTTGGCGAAGTTTGGAAATCCTTAAGACTTCGATTTCGAGACGTCAGGAGGCAATGGTGCAGCACCTGCAAGTGCCTGCTCGCTCGTCCCAACCGCTGGCAGACGGAGGGGGGCCCCACGCTTCATCCCCACCAGAACAGGTCGACTCGCCGATCAACGGACATTCCATACTGCTGGTTGGACACAAGGTGGTGGTGGGGGGGATCTTAAGAAACTTTCACCGTGCCCAGTAAACATAAACGTTGGTCCAACGTTAGCACAACGTTCGTCCAACGTTGTGCCAACGTTTGGTGAACGTTCGACCAACGTTGACCCAACGTTGGCCAACGTTGGACAGTCGTTCTATGGTTCAACATTAGCCCATTGTTAGCCCAACGTTGGCTCAACGTTGACCCAACGTCGGCACGTCACTGGGTTGTTTCAAAACGCCGTACCGGGAGGAGCGAAAAGGGCGCTCGCTAACCATAGCGCCACAGCGGTGGCAGAAGCAGCAGCAGCAGCAGCATCAACAACGGCGGCGATGGGACGACAACAACAACAACAGTCAACAACCACTAAAAATAACAACAAAATCCAGCACTGGCTTTTCACTCGCACGAAGCTTTTTGTTGCTGTTGCTGCTGTTGCTGCTGCTGCTGTTGTTGTTGCCGCAAAGTTGCGAAGCCACGAAGCCATTCCCGGTTCGACGGTAATAATAATTTGTCAGTAACGGGGGGACGTGACCGAGGCACCTCGCTAATCGTGGCCAAGGGGGACACACGGCCCCATCGGCAGGGGCTGCGAAGAGCAAACTAAACCACCACCCCCGCCTCCTCCTCCTCCTCCTCTTCTGCCCCCCTTCCCTCCCCAATAAACATTTGCAGCTGAAATCATCTTATGCAATCTGCGAAGCCAACAACTTTTTTTTGTGTGTTACATTTATATAGTTATTTATTTTCTTCTTCTCAGCTTCCCCCACCCCCGCTCCTAAAACAAACCAACAAATGTGTATCTGCCGTACGTACGTGTGTGTACATTACTGCCGGCTATCCGGTGCGACTTATGCCCTGTGCTCCTTCGCGTAAATACCACCGTCGATGATTGTGCTGATGATGATGATGGTGGTGGCCGTGCCGATGACGCTGCTGATAATGGCTATAACGGTAAATAGGGCGTACAATGTAAACTATACGAAGTTAAAAACGCGAGGTCGCTTTGACCCCAAGCGATGCCAAGTGGCTGCATAACGCGCGCTTTTTCTTGCACAAGCGAGACTTGGCAAGGGCGTGTGGACGGCAGTGTGGCCAATACATACACACACACACGCACACACATGTACAGGGACAGGGATACACACACACGCATATACAGGGACAGGGATACACACACACGCATG